CAGATTCAAAACTGAGTCTGAACTTTTCTGCTGAAGTGAGTTCAAACTTTCCAATAAGTCATCAACATTTTTCTAACTAAGTATAAACCTTTCTGCTATGTTATTCAATCCTTTTTAAAGTTGTCAAAGCTTTCCTGAAGTGATTCAACAAATCCCGAATCCAATCTTTACAGAATTGGTTTGGCATTTTCTGAAGTGAGGCAACATTAGTTGATTTAATCCCTTTCCTAAATGAAGCAAAGGTTTCCTGCATTGATTCAACTTTTTCCGAACTGTTCTTAACTGCTTTGGCATTTGGCAAAGACAAAATCTTGTTTAGGTCATCTAGTTTTCTAACACTTTTTGAGCTTAAATTTTCCAAATAGAGTACGATCTTTTCTGAAGTGGTTCATAACCTTCTTTAGGGAGTCCAAACTTTTCTGTTGAGTAATTTAATTTTATTGAATTTTAGTCTGAACTTTTCTGAAGTGATTTAACCAACTTTTAGCGTAGATTCCGCTCCTTTAGACTCCTTCCTCGTTCTTGTGAGATTAACATCCTTTGAAAATATGGTTGAGAAATGGAAGAATGGACCTTCGTGTGTTCATACCGGATACTAGATTTTTTTTAAGCAAGCACAATTGTTGAGAATACTGGGTTTACATCCACAAAAGTAAAGGGTGATACGGTCAAAATTTGGTCAAGGGAAAACGCGTGTAAATCGGTGAAATCGTTTATTTAAAAAATCAAATTAAATTTCTTTTTCAAGTTCAATTAGTATAAAATTCAGGAAAAATATTCAGTTAGGCTTCCGCTTTTCCAAATCCGAATTGCCGGGCCTTACGCTTGACCCCTGCCATCAGATTTTGTACAGCCACCTTGTACACCTTCTTCGCCGCAGAAAGCCAGTTTGCCTTGAACTGCTGCTCGCCCTTAGCAGTTTTTTTTTGGTCTTCTTTAGGTTCCGCTTGACAATAGCCCAGTATTTCTCAATTGGGCGGAGCTCTGGCGTGTTGGGAGGGTTCTTGTCCTTGGGAACCACCTGCACGTTGTTGGCGGCGTACCACTCCATGGCCTTTTTACCGTAATGGCAAGATGCCAAATCCGGCCAAAACAGTACGGAACAACCGTGTTTCTTCAGGAAAGGCAGCAGACGTTTATTCAAACACTCTTTCATGTAAATTTCTTGGTTGACAGTCCCGGAAGCTATGAAAATGCTGCTTTTCAAGCCACAGGTACAGATGGCTTGCCAAACCAGATATTTCTTTGCGAACTTTGACAGTTTCATGTGCTTGAAAACATCTGCTACCTTTCCCCTTCCTTTTGCCGTATAAAACTCCTGTCCCGGAAGCTGCTTGTAGTCGGCTTTGACGTAGGTTTCGTCGTCCATTACCACGCAGTCAAACTTCGTCAGCATCGTCGTGTACAGCCTCCGGGATCGCGCTTTGGCCGTCGTATTTTGTTTATCATCGCGATTTGGAGTCACTACCTTCTTGTAAGTCGATAGTCCGGCTCGTTTTTTGGCTCGATGCACGGTTGTCGACGATACACCCAGCTTATTTGCGGCATCTCGGAGAGAGAGGTTAGGGTTTCGCTTGAAACTACCGGCAACTCTCTTTGTCGTCTCAGCGGCTTCCGGTTTTCGATTTCCCCCCGATCCAGACTTCCTGGCTGTCGACAAACGTTCCCCAAACACTTTAATTACATTTGTAACGGTTGATTTGGCAACTTTTAGCGATTTTGCCAACTTTGCGTGCGAGTAGCTCGGATTTTCGCGATGCGCGAGCAAAATTTTGATACGCTGCTCTTCTTGCTTGGACGGCATTTTGACAACTGAAGAGTGAATTCCAAAATCAAAATAGGAGCAACATTCTACACACACACACCTTCAAAATGAGAGGTGTTCAGGTTTTTTAAATGCAAAATTGAAAGAAATACGTCAAGTTGATATTGACCAAATTTTGACCGTTTCACCCTTTACTATTTTTATAGAAATTTGGGTTTCTTGATCTGCCAAGATGAATTTTAGCTCTGTCCGTTGAAAAACAGGCTTGGATGATATAGAATAGACCTTTGTGAGTTCATCCGTGATGGTAGATTTGTTTGAAGCCAGGTTGGATTTCGGTTCAATCGTTTGAAATTTGTGCTTGGATTTTATTGAATGGAAGTTGTTGAATACCGGAAGAACGAACCTGGTTAATATTCACAAAAGAAAGTGTTTTCATAAAAAACGATTTTTCTGTTTTGTCGAACTGAGTTTTGGCTCCTATCTTTTAACAATAGACTTGTATTTTATAGAAAAGAAGTTGCTGAAACCATACGTTAGGGTTTAATTTCTTCAATTTTTGAGAATATCGAGTTTGAATTCACAAAAGTACGTATTTTCATAAAAATTTTAATTTTCTGTTGTGCCAAGTTGAATTTCAGCTCCGATCATTGAAAATAGACTTGGGTTTTAAAGAATGGATCTTAAATCCATACGTGATGATACATTTTTTGAAGCATGTACTATTTTTTTTTTTAAACTGGGTTTGAATTCTCAAAAGTACTCATTTTAATAGAAATTTGGGTTTCTTGTTCAGCCAAGTTGAATTTCGGCTCCTTCCTTTGATTGGCGTTTGAAAGGCGTCGATTTTACAGAATTGCTGAATCCATACGTATTTTAATAGAAATTTGGTTTTTCGGTTCTGCCAAATTGCATTTTGGGTCATATCTTTGAAAAATAGGCTTTTATTTTATAGAATGGACCTTGCTGTGAGTGAAGGTTTGTAATTCGAAAAATATTTTTTTTTTTCGAAATTTGGTTTTCCCTTTCTGTTAAGTTGGATTGTGATACAATCCTTTGAAAGTTATGCTTAGATTTTATAGAATTTACCTTGCTGAATTCATATGTGATGATTTTTAAGCACACACAAAGCCAGCTTTAAATTGAAAAATCTAGGTATTTTTGTTAAAATTTGGTTTTTATGTTCAGCCAAGATGGATTTTGGCTGCATCCTTTGAATATTACACTTGGATTTTGTTGAATAGACCTTCCTGAATCCATACGTCTATTTAGATTTTTTGAAGCAAGCGCAGTTGTTGAGAAAACTGAGTTATATTTGGATAGGAAGGAACTATCGAAAACAGAACGTTTTTTTATAAGAACTGTTACGTTTGTGGTATTCCGCTTGATGGTTTATCCGGAATCAATTACTCTTATTCATCTACATTATTACCAATGTTCTTGCTTGAAAGGATACAAAAACTTATGCGCGAGATGTCTTGTTGATAACCCGAGTGTTACATATAATAAAGTCAACATTTGTGGCATTAGTGTCAAAAATCACGGCTTCAAAGAAGTATAAGCCTAATGCGAAGGCTAAGAAAAAATGTTAGCGTTTGAAATATATTGTTTAGGTGTGATGTAAAACTAATTTAAAATGTTTTATTTCTTTTTTTTTTGTTTATTTTTTATTGCCCCCCCCCCACCTAGTGCGAGCATCGAGTGACAAAAGAAAAACTTGAGATTTGTTCCAGCCTAATTGGTTAATCTCGACCCGTAGCTGAATTCGTAGCTTTTATTCAGCTGCATTTACAGCAAGAAAGTGCAAAAAAGGTATACATAGCTGAAAATGTTTGTTGAGATTGGCATCAGCTAAATTATTCAAAATGATGCATAGAATTGTGTGAAGTATTAATGAAAACCTCTTCATTCCTTTATTTAATGTCGGTCTCTGTTCCGCAATCTAGTGCCAATCAGGAAGGCAGCTTCCACACCTGCATAGGGTATCGCACCCATTCAACACACATGGGCCGTGACCAACGGCTTTACTTACCTTCCGAAGGAGGACGTGACCAGAGATTTTTATGCCTCAGAAAAATCCCACCGACCTCGGCTGGGATTGAACCCAGACCCATTGGGGTGTTAGAAAGCACCGTGCGCCGGCCAATCAAAACCTAAACATTCAAATTTAGATTCTTACCTTGAGTGGGTTAAAGTTGATTTATTTGCTTTGCTAATTTATGCTAAGGATGAACATTCGCTTTTTTATCAAAATTTGCGTCCACTTACTAAACCTTCATAGCATGCAATCATTATCAAGTTATTCGAAAAGCGGAATTATTCTTACAGAAAATAAAACAACATACAATTAAATCCAAACAACATGGCCACGCAACTAAACAACCAAAACACGATCGAAAAAACGTCCAAACGCAAAGCAAAGAATCACACAAATGTTTTTAGTACGCTCTCTAGCGGTCCTCGGAAAGACTCGTTGTTGGGGTTGCAATTTCAGCACTTTTCAGTAATTATTCTTACTACCTTAACAGCCGGTCAGGTCGGTCGGTCGGTGGCGAAAATTGCGGTCAAGTACGACCTACAACACCTCATGAACCAAACGAGCAATCGCTGCACATATATGCAACAACAGGCGTACACTCACTTGTATGCTTGCTTGCTTTTGTGCTTTCATGTTGGACCTCCAAAACCCATGCGCGAGACCCCGATCTGACCCCGCGCCGCACCGTTAAGTGAATGAGAGAGCGTTTGTGCAAAAAAAAACCAAATGCCCGCAAGTCTGAAATGATGGAATGTCAAAACAGCAACTTCTGTAATCCAAAAAAAAATGGTCATCGGTTGACAGTGGCTACCTGGGATGACTAATGCCTAGGGGTTCGACGGTATAAAATATGATTAAACGATCAACCTTATATAACCCAAACTACCGAAAGGCAATCGGATCAAAGCCAAGCAGTTAATCGCTGTCTATTTAGGTTGGATATGCTAGTAAACGCAACGTGGCATTTAAATGTCTCTTGAGGAAAACAAATATGATTCAAGCGATGCGTTTATATAATTCAAAGGGTGTCAAGTTTAAACAAACAGCTATGTCGGTTTAATCGCACTAATGGCAGTGTTCGAAGCAATGAGCACTCAATTACCTTTATAGAATTAAGCATGAATGATGATGAACGATCACGAAATCCTTCTCTAATCTAATGTTCTTTTCGATCTTCTCCTTTCCTCTTTTTTGCAGTTAACGCCACGGATACTTAGAATAGCTATAGTATTATGCATCCTCATCGCCATCTTCTCGCAGACTACAGATAGTGCTCAAAGTAAGTATGTTAATGGAGTGCGCTCCTACACCGGTGGCGGTTGACATTTTCCCATCAGCGATGTCCAAATCCCTACCGACACGACAATAAAAAAAAATACTGCAGCTCAGTATATAAATATGCTAGATTTACGGCCTATTCCAGCCAATAACATCCGACTAACCGCTTCTCAAGGTGACATCGACTATCGTTCAGAGTCGTAGATCAAGCCGTAGATTATTACTCTCAGAAGACTCCATCGATCTGAATCTAACGCCGAGCGACAAAAGCAGTCTGACTAATATTTCCTGTTGATCACTACTGATCGATCGATGATAAATGTCGGGCAATTAACCGATATACCTAGTACAAACAACATCCACTGGCGAAATACTAATTTATTGATCCGTTTCCTCATCTTTCCAATTGAAAAAAAAAAAACCAGCAAAGCGCAGAATACGACGACCCACTAGTCTGAAATCGACTGCCGCCAAACAGACCGTAGAGGACAACCAAATTCCAGTCAAAAAGGTCGCCCAGGACCGATCCGATCAGGCCCCTGCCTCGGCCACCAATCGCTTCCGCGTGCGATCGAAAACGCGTGGTAGTACAGCACTAGCAGCCGGAGCTACGGCCGCCGTCGTAGCCGGAGCGTCCACCAATTCCCTGGTCACCAAGAAGGTCCAAGATAAGGATGGATACAAGGTAAGATCGCTATGATGCAGTGGCAGTGGCAGCTTAGACACTTAACTAACACACAACCCCTTCTTCCCCATCGCGACAGATTGTTTGCTACTACACCAACTGGTCCCAGTACCGTACCAAGCTCGGTAAGTTCGTCCCGGAGGATATCCCGGCTGACCTGTGCACCCACATCATCTTCGCCTTCGGTTGGCTCAAGAAGGGCAAGCTCAGCTCGTTCGAGAGCAACGATGAAACCAAGGACGGCAAGACCGGTCTGTACGAGCGGATGTTGGCACTGAAGAAGACTAATCCACAGCTGAAGGTCCTTCTGGCCATCGGTGGTTGGTCATTCGGTACCCAAAAGTTCAAGGAAATGTCCGCTACCCGGTACGCCCGTCAGACCTTCATCTACTCGGCAATTCCATTCCTGCGCCAGCGTGGATTCGACGGTCTGGATATGGATTGGGAATACCCGAAAGGATCGGACGATAAGAAGAACTTCGTGCTGCTGTTGAAGGAACTGAGGGAAGCCTTCGAAGCCGAGTCACAGGAAATCCGTCAAACAAGACTGCTGCTGACTGCTGCCGTCCCAGTGGGTCCAGATAACGTCCGTGGAGGATACGACGTCCCAGCTGTGGCTAGCTACCTCGACTTTATCAACCTGATGGCCTACGATTTTCACGGCAAATGGGAACGTGAAACCGGACACAATGCCCCACTGTATGCTCCGTCAACGGACTCGGAATGGCGCAAGCAATTGTCGGTTGACTACGCAGCGAGTTTGTGGGTTAAATTGGGCGCTCCCAAGGACAAACTGGTCATCGGTATGCCAACCTATGGACGATCTTTCACTCTGTCAAATGCCGATCGCTACAAGGTAAACTCCCCGGCTAGTACCGGTGGTAAGGCTGGAGAGTACACTAAGGAATCTGGATTCTTGGCATACTACGAAATTTGCGAAATGTTGTTGAACGGAGCAGCGTACGTTTGGGACGAGGAAATGAAGGTTCCCTATATGGTCGATGGCGATCAGTGGGTTGGCTTCGATGATGAACGTTCGATCCGTAACAAAATGGTGTGGATCAAGACGAACGGATTTGCCGGAGCTATGGTGTGGACTGTGGATATGGATGACTTTAGCGGAACTGTGTGCGGTGGAAATGTCAAGTACCCGTTGATTGGAGCTATGCGAGAAGAGTTACGAGGTGTCAGCCGTGGTAAGGATGCTAAGGACGTGAACTGGTCCGAGGTTGCTGCTACCATCCAGGAGAAGGTAGGTTTTGAGGGGAGTTTCTTAAGGATTGAATTCATTTGGGATTGTTTTGTTTGTAGGAAGAGGAGATGCCCGCTCCGATCAAGATCTCCATCGATGAGGTGCTCAGCAAGGTCCAGAAACCACAGAAGAAGATCATCAAGCTAGGTTTGGCTTCTTCTGAGAAGAATTGTACGTATTGGTCCCTGTAGTTGCATGAGGTAGATTTTAAATAACTCTTCTCTTACAGCTCGTCCAGGACAGGTCTTCTGCTATCTGACCAGCTGGTCCGCCAAGCGCCCGGGAGCCGGCAAGTTCGAACCCAAGGACATCGATGCCAAGCTGTGCACGCACGTTGTTTACGCCTTCGCCACGCTCAAGGATCACAAGCTGACCGAAGCCAACGAGAGCGATCCGGACATGTACGATGAGGTGATTGCTCTGCGCGAGAAGAACCCCGAGCTGCAAATTCTACTGGCTATCGGAGGGTGGGCTTTCGGATCGACCCCCTTCAAAGAACTTACCTCGAATGTGTTCCGTATGAATCAGTTTGTATACGAAGCAATCGACTTCCTGCGCGAGTACCAGTTCAACGGTTTGGATGTCGACTGGGAGTACCCACGTGGTGCTGATGACCGTAAAGCCTATGTTGATCTGCTGCGTGAACTGCGAATTGCGTTTGAAGGTGAAGCCAAGACTGCTGGACAACCACGACTGCTGCTGACGGCCGCTGTTCCTGCTTCCTTCGAAGCCATCGCTGCTGGATACGACGTACCAGAAATTTCCAAATATCTAGACTTCATCAACGTCATGACTTACGACTTCCACGGACAATGGGAACGCCAGGTTGGACACAACTCACCTCTATTCCCCTTGGACACGGCCTCTGCCTACCAGAAGAAACTGACCGTAGACTTCAGTGCTCGCGAATGGGTCAAGCAGGGAGCTCCCAAGGAGAAGCTTCTGATCGGTATGCCAACCTACGGACGATCGTTCACCCTGGTCAATCAGACACAGTTTGATATTGGGGCTCCAGCTTCTGGAGGCGGTCTTCCAGGAAAGTTCACGAACGAGGCTGGCTTCTTGAGCTACTACGAAATCTGCGCCTTCTTGGGAGTGGACAATACCACACTGGTGTGGGACTCTGAACAACAAGTGCCATTCGCCTACCGCAAGGATCAGTGGGTAGGATTCGACGACGAGCGATCCCTCAAGACTAAGGTAAGATGAACTTTGGACTAAAGTTTGAATGGAATGCATTACTGAATTTCTGTTTTCATAGATGGAATGGTTGAAGGAGATGGGCTTCGGTGGAATTATGGTCTGGTCTGTCGATATGGACGACTTCTCCGGCCGATGTGGAGCTGGTAAGTTCCCGCTGTTGAATGTGCTCAACGAAGAACTGAAGGACTACAAGGTTCACATGGAGTACGACGGACCCTATGAATCCTACAACCCACGTGGCGCCTACACCACCAAAGATCGTAAGTATCCTCGAATCGTTCTTACAAAGTACATTTCGCTAAACAATATTTCTCCCTCACAGCCAACGAAGTAATTTGCGCTGAAGAGGAAGGCCACATCAGCTACCATCCGGACAAGAGCGACTGTACTCACTACTATATGTGCGAAGGAGAACGCAAACACCACATGCCCTGCCCAGCCAACCTGGTCTTCAACCCGAACGAGAACGTCTGCGATTGGCCTGAGAATGTCGAGGGCTGCCACCAACACACGCAGACCCCTCCGGCGGCCTAATTCGGACTTCGCCCCATTTGCATTGTCAGCATAATCACAATAACCCCCACTCCACACCCGCACCACATTCCTTTAGGCGTAGCAAGATAAAGAAGATAATTATGGAAAAATGAGTAGAAAAACTGCCAAGCTAGAGAGCCTCGAAACATTTATGTAACAGAAAATACTCTATATTTCGGTCGTCTTTGGGTGAAACTCTGCCCTGGGGACACCAATCGGTCGACAAACTGTTGTAAATATCTTCATGTATCCCTTTAGCAACCGAACAGCACCCGAAAGCTCCACCAATCTGAAAAGAACAACTTCAACTGCCATTCATTTTTGCTTACTAACCTACCGGAGAATACCGCGGATCAAAATTTATTTATAATCTCAATCCTTCAAACACAAGACCATATGACAAACACTGTTCGTAGAGACATTCAAAAATCGAGCACGACCCTCTATTTACAACTCTAATGTTTATCAAGTACTATTTATATACAAATCCTTAAGGAAGAAGCCCCTTTTAGAATTAAGTATTGTTTAAAGTTAGTACGAATAACGAGAAATGAGCGGAAAGCAAGCAAAAACGATGAATAGCGTTATTCATCCCTAATCGTAAAAAGATAAATCAATCGAAAACAAATACAGACACGCACACAAACACAAACGAGTGGAAAGAAAGCAGCTTCATAAAATTAGGTACTAACAATTTCGTTGACCAGCGATCCCCCGAATCTTATTCTTATTTCGTGCAAACACTCACTAATTCGAAAACTCCGTGTAAATGTGTTTTTTTGAGTAGATGTATAAAATCTGTGATAATTAAGTGTATATACAAAAACAACGGTACGGAAAGAAATACAACCAAGAAGAACCCAATCATCAGCAACCAGCAGCCGTGTGTGCCGACATCTGAGAAGAAGCTCCCTCCGTAAACCATTAACTGAAGAAGAAAAACTAAAACAGACAAATGAAGCTACTAAAATCCGTAAATATCATGTAACCGTGACTCGTCGACAGTAGGAAGATGAACGAGCTGCTCATTTTCTATTTGTAAGAAAATGAACGCCGTGGAAGAATGCCACATTTGCACTAAGCAGTTGCGTTAAATCTTCCGAAGTAGACATGTTTAGCCAAGAGAAAGAAATATGGAAATTAAAGTTGCACTGGATCACTTTTGAGAAGAAAATACAAGCATACAAAGCGTCTGAAAGAAAGAATTGAAGAAAACAAAGCGATGCAGCAAAAACAAGAAGGACGCTATATACGATTACAAACAAACAAACGTTGACTAAGTGTAAAATATATTGTATGTAATGTACGAGAAAAATAAAAATTATTTTTAAATAAAGAATTATTTAAATTCACTGCGTCCGTTCCTGGGTCAGATATCACGCAACCTAAGTAACCTTACATTTTTTTGAAGGGTTAAAAGCATTCTTTAAGTCTAAATCATGGACTACAGAACCATCATAAAACCCACATTGTTTCTGGGAATCTGTGTAATAATAACTCAATCAAACTTGAAGGGTCCACTGCAATTGCAGTCCTTCGATTGGTTTGGAGCACAATTTGTCTAATAGGGAAGGTGGGGTTAAAATGGGCAGGCGGGGTAAAACTTTCAGGACCTTGTTTCGTCGGGAAATCCTTAAATATCTCTGTTCTGATCATGCAAGAAATTCGCAACGAATCGTGATAAGAATGTAAAATGTAAAATGTACAGTCATTCCGGTGAGTGGTCCTTACATCTGTGAGAGAGTGCTCCCTCCAGGCCCCTCCCTCTTTATTATTATATGTATGTTCATGAATGTGTTAGCACGGAGGTGGTTTTTCAATCTTTATCATACATCTTACCTATCATTGAAATAAAATATTGATTTTTTTCGTGGTACTGCTAGAAATGGTAGAGAACAATCATAAGACCCCATGCCTACCTTGGAGTCGGTTCCGGATGTTTCGGATGATGGTTCCATATGGTCAAATTTATTATCTATCATAACCATATCAAGCGACATATCAATTCAAATCTACTCGATGAAATATGACCAATGACACACAAAATGACATCCATAGAGCCATATGGGCACCGTAGAACCAGTTCCGGATAATCCGGATTATGATTCCGTATATTCATATTTGATATGTCTCATAATCGACATATCAGATCACATCTGAACTGTGGCAGTGCATCTAGAACACTATGTTGAGAACACGCAATAAGCTAATATGCGAATAAGCAATAAACCTGAAATGCCAATGAGAAGAAGAAGAAGAAGAAGAAGAAGAAGAAGAAGAAAATGAAGAAGAAGAAGAAGAAGAAGTAGAAGACAGACAAATCAGTTGTCTAATATTTTTGGGCTCTAAGATTCCAAATATTTGGTATCAAATTTATAAGGAGAAAATAGAGAGACGATGAAGCTAGACAAATTGGATTTAAGGGTTGGTAAGCATTTGTTATTTGTATGAATGAATGCACTCACGGGGGAGGTGGTTCTAAATTTTGTATAAAACCTTCAAACCAAAAGCATCCAATCCAAAAGTCATCAGAATCGTCAAAGTAAATAGTGCAGAAGAGATATCTTTTACAGGTCTCGGGTTTTCGACGTGCCTCACAGGATTTGAATTCATCCTGGTTTTAGCACATGGTGGCAAACCCGGAGCTCAAGCAGCTCTGAGAAATTTCATTTGATGTTGTAGACGATCCTGATAGCTTCGTTTCCCAGCAGCAATGAAGATCCAACACAAGCTTTCCCTTCGGGGTGTTTTCTTAGGGTACCCGATGAGATCCAAGGAAGTAGAAACAGGGGTGTAAAGCCGTTTTTTCGACAGGAATTTGATGTGGCTCAGAAAATCATCACCACGTCACATTTGAGTTTTTGCATTTCCCTTACAATTGTTGTGGTTATCATGAATTTTATCTGACCTGAGATGTATATGTATATTGGCAATGTAAACTTGTTTTTATATTTCACCGATTATGGTGACGTCACACGAAACATGACAGGAGCGGAATAGCTAGCCTGGTATATGTAAGCCGTGACCCAAAGCAATTGTCAGTTTCATATACGCGAATAGAGGAAACATTCATGTACCTGATAGTGATGTGCATTATACACATTCCTCAACACCAGTTTTTGAGTGCCCCCTGCATAAACGATCTATCCAATTCATCTATTCTTCAAACCATCATCCGTTCAAATATATTACATTTTACTTTGACCTCGGCCCTGGTCCAATTTCTATGGACTTGGATGAGCTTGATGTTCTTGTTGAGGCTCTTTTCTCAGCTTCATTGCCATGACCCCTGTTACCTCTGCTACGATATCTTCCCTGGTTCTAATCCAGCACTTGCTTTCGTTTCCATAGTGTATCGTCGATTCCGCAAAGGCAGATCTACGGTGGACGCCATCCGTGACGTCCTTCAGATGGCAGAGGTGGTCCATCGGAAACGAAGGGGCATTCGTTACTCGCTACACCAACTCCGAATCTACGGAGGGCTTACAAGATTCTGGAAAGCTACTTCCAGAATCGTGTGTTTAAGTATGACACAAAAGATGGCGAAAAATGCGTTAGAGTCACCGCAGGAGTGCCACAAGGCTCCATCCTGGGCCCGGTGTTTTGGAACGTCATGTACGATGGAGTGCTGAGGATAAGATTCCCAGCAGGCGTGAAAATTGTTGTCACGCTGGTAGTCTACCAGTGTGTAAGCTCAGCTTCGGCTGTCACGTCGAGTACGCCTGCAAGCGAGCGTCTACGGCTGTGAGGGCATTATCCTGCATGATGTCCAACAGTTCGGCGGTCAGTGTCAGCAAGCGCAGGCTCCTCGCCGTGGTCGTAGTATCTATCCTCAGATACGGAGGCCCTGCGTGGGCTGCGGTTTTGGATTCCGACTGCTACAGGCGGAAACTAGAGAGTACACTTAGGCTAATGTGCTTGAGGGTGGCCAGTACATATCGCACCATCTCGAGGGAGGCCGTCTGTGTCATAGCAGGGATGATGCCTCGGCCTCATCATTAAGGAGGATGGGAAGTGCTATGACACGAGGAGCGTTCGGCGGGCGCGCAACAACGCGCGCATAGTATCGATTGCGAGGTGGCAGTCGGAGTGTGAAAATTCCACTAAGGGAAGGTGGACCTACAGCTTGATACCTTCCGTATCAAGCTGGGTCAATAGGCGCCATGGGGAAGTAAACGTCCACCTGACACAGTTCCTATCAGGCCATGGCTGCTTTAGGAGTTACTTGCATAGGTTCGGACAAGCAAGTAGGGGAGAACAGTACATAACGCACCCCCGGGGTAAGACGCACTTTTTCATTTTATTTTGAGTTTTTCTTGGAATTTTCAATCCAATTCTAGGATTTATCGTGCAGGATTTTGAGTTCAGATGTTATGCTAGAAGTGTTGCTTGATAAGACAACAAAAAAGTTACGTAAAAGGCATGAAAAACACAAATGAAAGTCAGCTGGTGCGTTCTGCCCAGGGGGTGCGTTGTATACCATTCTCCCCTACTCCCACCTGCCCCGCGTGCGCTGATGTCGAAGAGACGGCGGAACATGTTATGTTCGCCTGTCCACGCTTCGAGCCAGTAAGGAGCGCTATGCTAGCGATATGCGGAGCGGACACCAGTCCGGATAACATCGTCCATAGGATGTGTGGTACTACCGAGAACTGAGCTGGAGCGCTGTGGTGACTGCGGTCACCCACATAGTTTCAGAGCTACAACTAGTGTGGCGTGCCGAGCAGCAGTTGACTACTGCCCGACTAGAGCGTTAGAGTACGGCTAGAGGAGCGCTATAGCGCATAGGCCCCTCCCACGAAGTAATGCCTTCGGGCGGTCTCGGGGAGGTCAAGAACCAAGGGCACAGCTAGGGTTTAGTGGGTCGGGAGTATAATTCTCCCTGAGTCACTTTCTCGGGTGTCTGCGAGCAGATTCCCCCCTGTGAAAAAAGACCAGTTTTTGAGTGCCCCCTGCATAAACAATTTATCCAATTCATCCATTCGTCAATCCATCATCCATTCAAATATATTACATTTTACTTTGACCTCGGCCCTGGTCCAATTTCTATGAACTAACTTGATGTTCTTGTTGAGGCTCTTTTCTCAGCTTCATTGCCTTGGCCCGTGTTACCTCTGCTACGATATCTTCCCTGGTTCTTATCCAGCACTTGCTTTCGTTTCCATAGTGTATCGTCAATTCACCTTCACTTATGTCTCTGAAATTCGGTTGATATCGACTTCGGATCTGTTGGATTCCGTTTAGGTATATTATGTCATATATTTTTTCGGAACATCTTGAATCGGTTATCAGATGGCCATATGGGTCTATGATTGTTGATTTGAGTGAGTATATTTCGGTGAGTACATGTGATTTGATATGGCTATAATAGATATCGAATTTGACCATGAGGAGTCATCATTCGAGATATCCGGAACCGGTTCTATGGTGGCCATAAGGCTCTGTTAGTATTTGTTAGAGCTATTGGTTTGCTTTTGTCGATTAGATGTGATTTGATATGTCGCTTGGTATGGTTAAGATAAATATCAAATTTAACCATTTTGAACCATAATCCGGGATATTTGCAGGTTTGGATTGCAACTCTTAGATAGCAGTGTCATCGCTTTAACCACAAGCTACCCGTGTATCAACTCTCAAAACGTTAGCAAATGTTAAAATATTGATAGCATTATATAAATAGCAGTAAGACTATAATATGCTGTGCATTTTGCAATTGATTTGAATATAAATATTGCTAAATATTACGATTTTAAAGTCCAGCACAGTTTAAAAGTGAGGTTACGCGACAACACTGTTAGAAAGCAAAACATACAAGTTTTATGTTTCAAACATATACTTTGCAACCTCTTCTAAAAAACATGATCATAATTATGATCTAATTAGATTAGACTCATGATGTTCTGCTCAGTAAGCAAAAACGGTTGCTCTAGGTCCACCGAGCCCCTCATATCACATCATACCGTTACTCGAGTTGTTGTGACCATTCAAACCCGGCAACGACGACGACGACCTGTTTCGCAAAATACACGATGAACAAGCGATTTGTTCCTAAATCTCTTTATTATGAAAGGATTGCGTGGTTCTTCACAGTAAGCAAGCCACTGCAACTGACTATCTTTCAACTCTGAAAACTAAAAACTACGAAAAAGCACATTAAGTCCCACTTTCACGCGACATTTAATGCTACGATTTGCCCTGGTTAAACAAGCTTTTCGAATGCAATTACGTTCTCGAATGAAGTCAATAATGTATCCCAAACTTGATCAAGCGTGCGCTCTATTTTTTGTATACATTCCAAAGCGTTCCGGCCAAAATCTATCAGTTACAATTTTCCAACAAATAGTAGCCTGGG